CACAAAGCTACACAATTGGCTATCTGTGCTCTGCCCACCATGGGTATCGAAACCCGGATTCTAGCGTTGTAAGTCCGCAAACATACCGCTGTGCCACTGGGGGGGGGGGGGCGTACATTAGTTTCTGTAAACTTAAGCGTTATTTGAACCGTTTTATTTGGAGCTACCTCTACAACAAGTAAAAATAACCTGTAACAAATGTTGTTCACTTATTTACCCCCCTCCAGTGGATAAGCGATAAGTTTTTGGACTTATGACACTAAAAATCGGGTTTCGATACCCATGGTGGACACAGCACAAATAGCCCATTGTGTAGCTCTGTGCTTAACAATAAACAAAGTAACTTTTTGAAAAAATAGATTACTTTGTTATTGTTACTTAAATTTGATTTCACATTGTGTTTATCAAATAACCCAAAACAATCCGCCCAACAATAAAACACGTTACAACAATATCATTTTAGATCTGTCTTTTGTCTCGGTCAAGTTATTATGGTTTGGAGCTGATGTCACAACCGAACCTTTGATTACAAAAATATGGAAAATGATCATTCCGAGATACTTAATTTAGTGCTGAAACGGTTAGTGATTGTAGATAGGTAGATACTTAGAATTTTTCTTCTATTTTAGAAACATTATTGTAATTATAATAGTTAGTGTTACTGAGGAAGGAAGCCGTTTGTATCAGAGTACTGCCAGTTATGCGGTATGTGATGAGTAATACAAACACAACCGTATATGCTCGTTTATGTAAGATGATTTAATACAAAATTTGCAATCAAGATCAATTATAGTTATGCTTTTGTATTTCATTCCTACCATTTCTAGTTAAAAAATAATTTTTCCAGAAAGTATATTTTTGTCAAAACATTACTTAGAGGTGGAAACAGAAAACGTGTATTTCCCATTTAATCAAGCGGCGTTGCCTACAGTAACGCTCATTTCAGGCCCCAAAACTAAACCTTTCCACGAAGCGACTTAGATCCTTGCATTTACTCATTAATGCTTTTTCAGTGAGAATACTTCGTACAGTATAACCTCATGGGTGAATGGAGATTATTAAGTTGTTAATTTTTAGAGGATAAAATATTTAAGAATAATGGAGAATGTGTTAAATAATGTTTCATGGATATCACAGAAATTAGAATATTGTGAAATATGAATTGAATCATAGGTTTTGCAATGAGTAACTTTAACAACTGAATGGCAGTGCATTTTCAGTGTCATTTTATGCTCCTGCAAAAGAAAAAGAAATATATTCTCGTTTTACTTCATCTTCGTGCGAACCAACCTTTTATTTACATTTGTTGTTAAAGGAACATTTTTTTAAAAATTCCATGAAGCCCCCAGTATCACTACGGTATGTCTGCGGACTTACAACGCTAGAAACCGGGTTTCGATACCTGTGGTGGGCAGAGCACAGATAACCCATTGTGTAGCTTTGTGCTTAACTTCAAACAAACAAACAAAATTCCATGAATACAAAAACGTTAAATAATTTTAATCAACCTATAATTACATACAGCTATTCTGTAGTTTATATTATTGTTGTTACGAGTTCTATCGTTTAGCGGGTTCTATTGGATGGATTATCTGATAAAAATAACGCCAACTACAGTCCAAGCAACAATAACGAATTTTTGAATAATGTTTGCTGCATTCATTTTGACGCAAGTTGTAAGCCTAATATCACAAATAAACTCTTAAATGTAAACTTTGAGACTACTTTAGGCCTAATAGACTGATAATGTTTAAGAGAAATATTTAATTTTTCATTAGAGGGTGACGAAATTCTAGTTCAATACGAAATAAAATTTAATATTTGTGAAGTAATCTTTTGGTGTTAACACCTTAGGCAAAACTCTAAATTTCAATGAGCCTTTGAAGGGTTAATTAGAGTGTTTGTATCAATTCTTTATGTTATTTCAACCTTTATACAAACTATATTAAGTTATAAAAACATGCTAAGTATTTATAATCATGACTATGCTTTCCATAAACATATTACTGCTTGTAAAACTAACATATTTTCTTGCTTAATGATGCCCTTTAGGAGTAATGAATAATTTTCCTTATAAATCTAGACCCGTACTTAAAATTCATTTGAGTAATTAAAAAAAAATATTGTGGGATAGATCACAAATTAAAATAATACTATTTTCATCGTTCAGCCTTTTTCTTTCCAATTTCCTAATATTAAAACAATTAATTCTTCCGTGAAGAAGTATTTTCACACAGAAACTGTTTTGAAAGGCAAGTATCATTTTATTGAGTATCGACAAGTTGTGGCGATGACAATGGTCATCATTTTTGTTTAAAATGGTATTGTTAATGCCAGTGATTTTTTAAACCTTCTAATTCATACATTGATATAAAAACAAACAATATTTTAGGTGAGAACTAACTGTTTATCCAATTAGATACAACTTGCAATACCAACAGCGGAAACATAATTAAAATATTTTAGATACTGAATAAGAATAATATAATTTAGATTTGTGATAAATACATTTTTATGTTTTTTTATAATGACTATTTTCTTAACGTATGCTTTTTTTTTATTCAGAATTTGTTGCAAAGCTACACAAAGGTCGATCTATAAATAGCTGTCTCTGATTTTGAACTGATAGATTAGAGGGAAAGCATCTATTCAACAGTACCTACCACCGATTCTTGGGCTATTTTTGTCTGACCGAATAGCGAGATTTGATTGTCACTTTTATTGCACATGCATGGTCCCAAAATGCAGAGAGTGTTTTTGAGGGAACGATCCGAGAAAAATGAGCTCTCAGATTCATAGACCAAACACACTGACCACCAGGCTACGTGTGACCAAATTTTAATGCATTATAAGAAATAACCATGTTATTATTTAAGTAATTAAATAGAAAAGCCTTCTACATTTGCTAATTGATTTCTTTTGCGTCGTTTCGGCCTTAGACCCACTTCAGGCAGTAATATAATTACAGGTGATTTATATATATATAAGTTTTATATTACATACGTAGATTTGATTATAGTCACCTAACCAGGAGGTGGGGGAAAAGGGGGTACATACCACATAACTTTGGGTATATTTTTAGCAGGTTTTCCTTACTCTGGCCCCCATTCCCCCTACTTCTAACAAAGTCAGGCGCATGGCGCACTTGTAATTAGTAATGACTTGATTTGGAATGTTGGGTACGAATGGAATAACTACTGTTTTCCTTTTATTGAAAAATATAAGATGGCGCTGCAGTTGCCTTGTTTAAGCGCGAACTGATATTTACTGTTTGGAATAATTCGATAAGCAATTGGTAAGGCTATTTTTTACACTGCTGTACGGTTAAATGTTTCGTCGTTTCGACAAACAGATTTAACTTATAAATTTTTCGATTAATTCTATATCATGTCAGAAGCGCGATCTGATGAAGACAAATCTTTTCGTGGTAGTTTCTTGGTTGCTGCAGATGATGAGCGTGGAAGTTCAACCTCAGGCGATGCTGTTTCTAATTCCAGTACTAGTGATAGTAGATTATCTCGACTGCTGAAGACGTCGCTTGATAAAACAATTTCAAAGTGCATGCAATCATTTAAGTAAGTAATTTTCGAAGTAATGTTGCAACGAATTCACTTTTAATTTAACAATAACATATTTGTTGGTCGATCTAATCATCTACTGCTTTATGCTGTCCCATCCAGTAAAACTAAACTTTGATTAAAAAACAACACATTCACAGCCAGCCCTTATCATTTACATATTCATCAAGCCTTTCCTTAAAGTTAAACTCCTCTAAATTTACTGCATCCACCACAACTGAACATAACCCATTCGAAAAGCCAGCTATCCTGTTACTGTTAGAAGAATTTAGCTGTCAGTCTCAGCTAAAATGACTTCTCATCCTTCCCTTCCAGTTCCATCATTTATATTTGTGTTCCCTAGTGTTACCATTCTCATCATTGAGTATGAAAAGAAAAAAAGATGAATGGACACTATCAGTTCTTGAATAACATAATGAGAACCTCTCCAACTCTAAGATTTTTTCTTGAAGAAAAAAAATGTTAACCTGACTTCACATGACAATCTTACCCTTCCATGTATCATCCTATTCCTAGTACTAGTAACAAACCTCCTCTGTACATAATGCTCCAAATGAGGCATAACCAGTGACTTATACTGTACAATAAAATTATGAACACTTTAGAAATAATATGTTATATTCAGCACTTCTGTGTATGCAACATGGAATTTTTATTGCCCTATAATTCACAACACTGCACTGCTTGGATTGCTTAAAAGACTGGTTAACCAGAATCACTAAGCTCTTTTTCTTTCATAATACTGTTAGGGTTATTTTCATCAAAACTATACTTATAATTTAAATTATGATAACATACATGCATTATCTTGTATTTATTGTAATTAAAAGTCTTCTGCTATTTATTTGTCCATCTTGCTAAATAATCTAAGTCTTTTTGTAAAGCAGCAACATTTTTCTCACAGCCAGCAACACCTAAGATCATAATATCCTAAGCAAATTTAAGCAATTTATTGACTATACCTCCATTTGTGTAACAGATATAAATCAGAATGTGCATAGACCCTAACACTGAGCACTGAGGTACCACATTTGACTTAACTCAATTTATATTAATTATTGTAATTCATATTTTACTAGATGGTTGAAAGATGTCACCCAGCATTATTTCATCTTCTCTCAGCTATCGCTGTTTACACGTATAGCATACATATTATCTTATATAAATTTAACTGCACTAATGAATATTGCAATTGAGGATTATTTGTACATAGAAATTTACTTCTGACACAGGCAGTATGTTTATAAACTAACAATCAACTCCTGCTTCTATGCTGAATTCTATTTTCAAATGACTTGTTATTTAAATTGATTTTGAATGTTGACAAAACACAAATGATAGTGGTATTTTGACTGATTTTATAAACACAGTGGCCGGGAATGATCTTTCAAATATTAAATACTCAGCAGTCCAAAAATTTAAATATTGATGAGCTTCGATCACCTCTCACTTGTCTTAGAGAATGAGTAATAGTAAATGACGAAACTGATTCGTCTTCAAGCTTGATGGAATGATCTGAATAAATATTTTGCACTAGAACAATGAATAGTGATTATCATTCTTGTTTAGTGTCAGTTCGCATGTGTGTTCGCTACAGACTGTCAGGAATGGCTTTCAAAATATTAGATACCTGGCAGTACATAATTTCTTGATTATGAATATTGATAAACCTCCAATATGATATTTTGTATGTATAATTTGTGATGATATTTTTTTGAACATTTTCATTAGTATTATTATCATCATTATTATTGTTGTTGTAACTCCTCAATATTCAAATTTTTGAACTGCTGGGTATTTAGTATTTAAAAGATCGTTCCTAGCTGTTGGGTATCTAGCCATTGCATTTCATAAATGCTTAGATTGAAAATGAAAACAAAACATGCATCTAAAGTGAAAAACAGATGACAATACATTAGATTTTGAGAAGTTTTGATTATTTATTTGTTCTTAATTATTTTAGATAAAGGTTAAAATATTATTCATGCATAATAGAGGTTAATAAGTACTTGGGAATGGATGTTAGGCCTCATGATATAAATAAGTGATATCTAGGTAATGTCATACCTAAGTATATTAAGCCAAAACACACTAACACTTATAAATAGAAACAGTAGGAAAAACAGACAAGAAGAAGATTTGGCATTGGGTAGCTGCTAAATAGAAACCTCTTTTACAATTTTCTGGAGTTTGTGTTTGAAATTTTCCTTTTTTTCTGATTATGCAGTCATGCGAAGTTGGAAAAAATACTTCCTTATTAAAACTCAGCTGTAGGTAAGACCCGTCATTTAGTTTATTTGTTTCACAGTTCAGTAGTTTCATTAATTCATGAATCGTATGTGATGAGAGGATGAATGTGCTGTAAACTGAATTGTTTTGAAAAAATTATGAAAAGTAAGGTACTTGTATTTAGGAGTTTGAGATAGATTTTGGGTGGTTAATATTTTAATTAGACTTAAAAGTTTTCTTTTTATTGGTTTCTATTTTTCTACTATTTTAACAAATAATGAAAATATACTGCTACAGCTTAAAATATCATTAAAATTGAAAGTACCCAACTTTTGAAACTGCATTCTAATCTTTATAAGTAAGAACATAAGTCAACTATATTTAATTAGCTATACTCATTACCAGGTTGTATTTTAGTTTTGCTTTAAGTAGATAGCTTGATGATCAGAAGTTCATAATGTTTTTTCATTTTGTATACAAAAGCAACGATTGTTGATGTTTTTTATTCATAGATTTCAACTGTTGTGCCAGAACTTCAACCCTATTTGGAAACAGTATCCAGAGGATTTGAAGGACATTCACATCCAGTTAGTTCGACAGCTGCAGGAGAACATTCAGCTAGAAGTAGACCAAATGTATCAAGAAGAGAAGATTATAGAGTTTTTAAATACGTTGGAGGAATTGAAATGCCAGCAGGCCCATCTTGCTAACCACCATGCATGGTAAGTTATAAGTTATATTCTCTTATTTATTGTGTATGTTGTTGTATATTTATAAACATTTTATAAGATATGTACATGATAAGTAACTTAAAGCAAATATATATCCTCTATCCATTTTAGGAGATAAACCTTTTATTCTTTATTATCTAAATCTTATAGTGCCACCAGTATTACAAAAAAGGCAGATTTATTTTACAGAATTGACTTTTTGTAGTACCTATTAGATTCTTTATACCTTTTTGAAGGGTGTTTTGTGACCTCAACTTTGGTGTATTTGATCTCAGAATTATTAACACATTCTGTAGTGAGGTAGCAGTGATCTGTAAACCTATCTTCATGCATTATTTCCAATTGTCACAAGCAGTATACTTAAAGTTTGGCTTTTTTCTTCCATGTTCTTCCTGCTGAACCAACAAGTATGATCTCATAAATCAGACTTCCTCCTTGTACAGTAACTACACCTTTACCCTAGTAGAGATACTGTACATATTTATCAACTTCACATCTCTGTTTTTATTTTGAATACTGCTTTATATATATTTTTTATTTCTCTTTTGACATCGGGTGTTGTGAATATCATAATGTATGAATCTTTTAACTTAAACACAGATAACTAAGTGTGTAGTATAGTGAAGTTTCTGAAATAAGAATTAAAATACTGAAATTCTTTTATGGTTTTAAAAACAACTTTTTTTTTGGAATACTTTTTCTTTAGTGTGGGTTGTTGTCATACTAACTTTGATATCATTTCAAATAAGATTAAAAAATATAAAGCCTCAAGATGGTTCACTTTATATGAAGCGGAACAATGTGATTGTCAATCATATGCTTTAATATTAACTGTATAACAAATAAGTTGCAAATACATGTACTGAAATGTTGACAGCAGAAATTTAGGAGAATATTTCATACTTGTGTACAACTGAAGATAATAAATTATCACATTACTGTTCTCTGCAACTTAAAATACATAGAATGTGTATTTGAATCTTACACAACTTCATATATCAACTGAAAACTACATTCCTACCTGCTGGGTGATTAGTGATAACTGATCAGTTTTCAAGTTCATTAATCAGTTGCATTTAACTAATTGATTATTCTCTCATAAGATGTTTCAAAAACAAATTATAATTCTAAAAATTGGGATTTGATACTCGTGGTGGGCAGAATTCAGACAGCCTGTTGAGTAGTTTTGTGTTTAACAACAAACAACTGTAATGGTAATACTTTGATAGTTGGAATAAGTTTAATCAGAAACCCTGATTTTGAATACTTCATTATTTTCACGAGTCATTACCCTAATTGATTAAGCTGAACAAACTTACACTAACCAAAAATAAATATCATCGTAATTGCAGTATATAGAATACTGGGTAGTTGGAATAATTGGAAGCAGTAACTTAGATTAGTTTTTTATTTTTGTGATGTTTATGATGCTAATCAGAATTTTGATTACTTTATATGACACTAATTGATATTCATAGGTAATTGATCATATCCAGTTAATTTCCAGCTTTACCACAGGAACAGTTGATAGAATAGCACATTTAGAAAACTGCATCATGACACTTCCATGACCTGAGTGTAAAAATTAAAATGAATTTTATTGTACATACGAAGTTGTCAAACTAAACTAATAAGCTTGTGGTAAAATGTATTCTTACAGATGGGAATTAAATGAACTATTAAAAGCAAACTTTGACATAATTATTTGCTCTTTTTAACAGTTCGCTATCCTTCCTGCAGTAGTGAGACCAAATCTGAGCACAATATTACATGTGAAACAAGTTATAATAAGACAAAATAAAAATAAGGCACTAAATTTGTTACTCTGAAAATATAGATAAATAGATCTAAGTACCCCTTCAGCTTTGGTTCACCATAGTCGTACACCTAGATGGAGGCAGAATCTCAGCGATTACATTTGCAACAAGTCCTTTCTAAGTTTAATTTTTAACAGCCATTCTGTGAATCAATGAGACTGAATTTTGTAAGCTACAGAGAGGTTTCATGGCTTCTGATATTCAAGTTAGAATAAAAACTACTCCAATAAAGGGCTTGATAATTTTTTTTTCAACCTAAAAAACATTATTACCAAATAGAACTCTCTCCTTAATAGTGTTTGGCCATGAAGATGTGGAGTTTAGGGGGATCCTGGACAGCATTCATCTTGCAAGAAGTTGAGATGTTCATGATTGGTCACATAAAAGCACTTATGAATATTAGATCTTTGTTGATCTGAAACCGAGATAAGAACATAGATTTGTCTATATTCTTTTATGTGCTATGCTGTGATACTGCCACTGTTATTGCTACAACTGCTGTCTCAACCTTCACATATGAGACTAGCTCCTACGATTGACTTAACAAGTATTTGTTTGTGATTCCTAGCAAGAACTGTCTCGAAAAAGCCAATCATGACTGGACATGCTGCAGTACTAACGTATGCATAAATTTGTGGTTTCAGAAAGGGAACTATTAAACTTGATAATACCAAAACATTTTGTATATAATTCTAAGAATACTTTTCTTTTTTTCAGACAATAATCTGTTGACAGAACTCGTTAAAAACTGTGGTGAAAACTTAGTTTAAATATCTGAGGAACCAGATCTTGTATTTCACAATATATCCATCTTGTACTGTATTTTGTATATGATTTTGGGTTGCAATATGGGTTTTACTCCTTCATATCCTGGAAATTAGTGTGAATTTAGCCATGCTGGTGGGCAGTTGAGATTCCAAATATCACAAGGAGTTCAAATCTCCATGCAGAATAATAAAAAGTACCAGAAAGCTTTGTTTGGGAATGAACCCACTTTACTAGTGGGGATTCCTTACAAATTTCTATAGGAGCTGTTGTTTTACATTACATAAATGGCAATGATTGGTTGGTTGTTTGGCATTTATTGACATAAAGTAACTAGGCTATCTTTTCCAAATACTGTCAACTTTGTTTACTATCCAGGGAGACATTTTTTCTGTAATGCTTTTATTATTTTATATCAGAAAATGTGTACAGAATCCCTAACACAAAAACAAAGGTTGAGGGAGGAGCCAGAGAACCTGAAAAACCCAAGTTGGATTCCACTGTGAAAGGTCACTTTAAAAATAGTAAATCACACATAGGGTGGTTTTGACACAGGTCAAAAAAGGTCAAACATAAATTGTTTAAGTGGTAGAACCAAGGGATCGTAAGTAATGCATAGTTTTCTGATTTGATGAATGTACTGCAAACCAAGATAAATCATGCTGTGTAGTAGAGGAAAGTAAATATCAGATATATTATACAGGGATATTGAAAAAAAACTGTAAACGTGTTTCAGAGTCTCTGGAGGGTATGTACATGCAATATGTAACCTGTATGATGGAAAAAATATGTTTATTCAACACATGAACAACACCTTGCACTCTGACTTGTTAGAGTCCGAGTCAAGTTGTCATTGACACCTCACAGATATATCTTGAGTACAAAAGAAAAATCCTACATCTAGTTTGAGAAATATGGTAGGGATTTGGCTGTTGAGATGTTTATTTAAATCCATTTCTAATTATGTAATGTGTTCTTTTTGGCTTAAAAAGGAAACTTTTAACTCTGGGATTGATTCATCTTAACAGTAATGCTAATTACTCATGTATGGGAGCATGTTAGGCTAATATAATAGTAAATTGACAAACAACGATTGATAAGCATAATGAAGTTGTTCTATTCTGGAGAACATACTACTGAAGAAGACAGGCTAATGTTGTGTCAGAACATCTATTATGTTCCCCAGAATAAAACCACTTCATTATGTTTATAAATTGTTTGTTAATCTACTGTTAATTTCATAATTTAAGAATTCTTATTTGTTGTAATTATAAAAGTAAAGAATATGTGTGTGTGTGTGTGTGTAGAAAGATAAATTTACTAGTTTGAAGAGATGGATGTCATAACTTTGCAGGTGCTTAATTTTAACATATAAACATTAAAGTATGATTAATTTTGTTTCGTGTAGTATGAATTTATTGTTTTGTGTTAAGAATTAAGAAAAACTTCTGATATTTTCTTTGCAGGAGACCTACTGGGGTTCCAGATAAGGATATTGTAGACCATTATTATCCTATCAAAACTGTACATCGAACCGAACTCTTGAATTTAGTAAAACAGTTAGAGGAAGAAAACGACAAGCTAGAAAAACAGGTTCAGGTTGGACGTCAGGCAATTACTAATCTTGAAAAAGAAGCAAAAGTGAAGTACAATCAGTATGAGGAGGTTTGTGTTTATGTTGCAAGTAGGACAGTATTTGTTATTGAATCAGTTTCGTATATGTACTGATGTTTGAATTAAGTGCTGAGTATGATACACAAAATGGAAACATATTCTTTCTAACACACATTATTGTTTATGGTAATTGCAAGGCTCTTCCAATTTTTTATTGTGGGTACGTATGTGTGTTTGAGATGAGGGGTTTAGTCCGAGGGATTGATCTCAACCACTGATAAGGCCAATACTAAATCAGCTAGTATAGCATTTGTGTAGGGAAGCACATTATGCTAGGACTACTTTTATATATATAAGAGACAACGATTTTTAAGCATGATGAAAAAATTTTATATATATACTACATGTTTCGACAGTATGTAGTGTGTATTAAATTTGTTCGTTATGCTTACAATATGTTCTGTCTTATATATATACAAGTTTAGTATAGCATTTACAATATATGTTCTTAAAACATCTTTTATCAGCTTTGAGTTTATGAAATACAAGCATTATGGAGACTGCTCCCTCACTTTTGTATGAAAATTAAGTATCAGACTGTAGTCATGTGTTGATAGTTTACACTGATTGGTTGTCATTCAACCAATTAGACACTGCCACAATTCCTATACAAATACTGTTTCAAAATGATATGTTTACCTCTCTTTGCACATTAGCTGTTCTTTGCACATGCTGCTAGCCTTGAGCTATCAACTACCTACGATGGATGTTCTAACATGAACTATACTACTGCATGATGTAATCATCATGTGATGATAGCCCTCCACCGGTAAGAAGGCCACACATTCTTCATGCGCAGTAGATCCCCATAAACACTTGGATTCAAAATTGACTTTATTTATAGAGAAGGCAATAGTCTAGTTTGAATATTATTAAGAATGAATGTAGGGGCTTATATGAAAGCTTAGAATGTAAAATGGCAACCCTAAAGCTTGGCTGGATTGAGGGAAGAAATACAGAACATATAGATCACTGTTTCACAATTTATATGGTAAACTTATGGTAGTACAAAAACTAGGTGTATTGCTCTATTTGAAGCAAATCAAAAATACTAGCTCGTTTTACAATTTATGTGATTTTTGTTTATTTTCTTTGATAATGTACCGTACTAGTGATAAATTGACCAGTTGTTTGCAACTACTTGTTGTTTTCTACACTTCTCTGTGTATTTCAATAATTGTTTCTAATACCATATTTGTATAAAACAGTAATTAATAGCTTATATACATTTGTCAGATTTAAAAGTTGAGTATTTTTTAAATTGTGGCAGTATGTATCATACATACAGTTATTCTTACATAACAACTTGCATTAGTTAATGTAGTGTTAGTTCTTGTCATGATTATGTAGCGATAGTAATTGATACAAATAAAAAGATTTAACCACAAATAGATATAAACTGCTTTAAATCAATGCTAATCTGTATATCTAGTTGTCGGCTCAATTCAGATTTGTGTAATACTTGAGTCAAAACAATCTCTTGCTCTTACAGAAAATGAAAATAAATTGTTTATACTTTTTTTAATGATGAAGTAATTTTGATTTCTCTGATACATACAACACCTATATATTGTTAAGGTGGTGTAAAAGCTTTAAGAATGTATTAAGAGAAAATTGTTATAAAAAATCACAGCATTTTTTTTTTTACAGCTTGCAAAAGTCTGTAGTGGTCTGTCCTTGGAGAAACTTGAGAATGATCTGCACACATTTGTTGATTTTGAAGGATGAATATTGCTAAGTTATGATCTGAAATGTGTAAGTAATTGTACGAACAAAGTAAATGTTTTTCACAAGTTTTCTCTTCTAAATGAATGTTAAAAAATTTATCACTGTTACTGCAATACATTGTAAGTTATTGACTTTCAAGTGAACTAGGCTTACGTAAGATACCATTAACTGTCTTCTGTCATGTAGAATTGCATTAAGTTAGATTTATTTATTGTCAAGTAAAGAGTTGCTTCAGATAGTATAAACCAAGCATTTTCAGGTAGGTAAGATAAACTAGATGTTAAAATCTCTACTGTCAGGCAAGATAAGCTCTAGATGTTGTTCAAATGTTTACTGTCAGGCAAGATAAGCTCTAGATGTTGTTCAAATGTTTACTGTTAGGCAAGATAAGCTCTAGATGTTGTTCAAATGTTTACTGTTAGGCAAGATTAGCTCTAGATGTTGTTAAAATGTTTACAGTTAGGCAAGATAAACTCTAGATGTTGTTAAAATATCTGTTGATAGGCAAGATAAACTCTAGATATTGTTAAAATGTCTGCTGTTAGGCAAGATAAGCTCTAGATGTTAAAATGTTTACTGTTAGGCAAGATAAGCTCTAGATGTTGTTAAAATGTTTACTATTAGGCAAGATAAGCTCTAGATGTTGTTAAAATGTCTGCTGTTAGGCAAGATAAGCTCTAGATGTTGTTAAAATGTCTGCTGTTAGGTAAGGTAAATGTGTGTTAGGTTGTATAAGCTATAACATGTGAGTTAGGCTTGCTGTACATGTCAGTTGCCAGAAAAAAATTGTTTTAGATACTGTAAAGTACTTGTTGTCTGGTATGAGGTAGATTTTTTTAATTTCAGGGTCCGGAGATTAGTGTGATTATGTAGCCACAGTGTTTTGTTTGTTATTTATATATGACCTTGATCAAATCTGAATATCTAGATCATTTTTACCAGATTTATAACATTTATTTTGTTTTGACTTTATTCTTTTTTGACACTCTGTAAGTGGTGCCTACCAGCCAGATAGTGTAATTAATGGCCTGCCCAAAAAATCTATAAAGTGTGTTTATTTTGTCAATGTATAGACTACCGTATTATACACATACAGTACTGCATATACTACGATACTGTACTTGTATACGGAGCTGCAACAACCCACTGTGTTTGTATACGTGCACGGTGCTGCAACAACCCACTGTGTTTGTATACGTGCACGGTGCTGCAACAACCCACTGTGTTTGTATACGTGCACGGTGCTGCAACAACCCACTGTGTTGTATACATGTGCACGGTGCTGCAACAACCCACCATGTTGTATATGTGTGCATGGTGCTGCAACAACTCACTGTGTTGTATGTGTACACAGTGCTGCAACAACCCACTGTGTTGTATACATGTGCACGGTACTGCAACAACCCACCGTGTCGTATACATGCACGGTGCTGCAACAACCCACTGTGTTGTATATGTGTGCATTGTGCTGCGACAACCCACTGTGTTGTATATTTTACCAGTGTATGAGGCAGTAAAATATTTTTTTTAATCTTGGGGACCAAACCATTTTGAAAAAAAATGGGTCTTCTTAGATTTTTACACAAAAACATAAAACCATCATAATTTTAATTTTCTTATCTATTATCTACTAACTGTAGTAATTTTTGAACATTTTCTAGTTTGCCTATTATATTTCCTTTGCTTTTTTTTTATTTTCCATCACAGGGTGAGTTCTGTAAAACAGAAGATTTTCACCATCAATCTCACAGGAAAGAGTACTGGTGTCCTATTGTCCAGTTAAAGCAAAATGCAGACAAAAGATCTCAGTTTTATTGAAAATTATATGACGGTGAAAAGAATTAACCTTTTCGCTGCTGACCAACTTTGTAAGCCCTGTGAGGAGAGGATATGTGTAAAGTGGATTACTGTATAATGGATCAGTTGAACAATACATTTCAAACTTAAGGTTCTTAATAATACCCATAAGAAATGTCAATTTTCCTTTTTTTGGTTCTCTCATATTAATCACGCTGATAAATTGTCTCACTCACCAAGAAGTAATTGATAAGTTCTCATTTACTAAGAGGTTGAAATAGTCATCTTGAATACAAGCTGTACCATCAAAAGCACCACTGTTTAATGATGTCAATGTCAAGTTTACCATAGTCCAACATCGACATAAAAGATCTTGAGGTTTATTGTTTTCAGTGTTCTCATCTCCTTGATCTACGTTAAATTCCACATGTTATGAATCTTCTGCTTCTTCTTTTTCTTCAGCATGATCAACATCACCACTTTCTTCATTCTCATCTTTGAAAGAAAACTCTTCATCATCATTCAAATTTTCTTTAATGATACTCTCTCTAGTTACTTAATTTATAATCTAAAGAAATGTTAAATTATCATTTCAATAAATAAGCATTTGTCTTCTGTATGATAATATGAATTCGAGAACTAGAACTGTTCACAAAATTCCATGAATCTATTATGGGCTCATGTACTTTTCTGCTCCTTTATTAATTATTTGCTCTATATATTATAATTTTTTTCTTTCAACATGGGTATTGTTCTTACAATAATGGATATATTGTGCATGTCAGTATATATGTGAAAGTGTGTGTAACGAAACACTTGCGCCACCTATTGATTTACATGACAAACAAAAAATATTAAAAAAAATTTGCACTTGGGTATTCAAGATTCAGACAATTAGAAATATAACCGTGGTATGTGCAACAACCATTTCTTTATAATAGAACACAATTTTAAATAAAAGTATTCTTCTCACAACAAAAAACAAGACTTTCACTAGGACTGTATGTGAGGATTTGTTTATATCTTTACTGTGATTTTTGAATGTAGTACTGAGAAACTGGAGTTCTTAAAAAACTTTTTTTTTCTCTATAAATGGTACCAATTTTAATATATGAAAAGTTACAATTTATATCAGTAAAATTTATGATAATTTTGAGAGCTGTACGTTGAATCATTTTGATGCAGTGAGTTGCATATTACTAAAGAGCGCAATCCGAACACTTTTCCCGTGCAGTACTTCCCAGAAAAAACTACTTTTTTAAAAAAATTTTCACTTTTTCCAAATTTTTCTAGTGAGGTAAGAATACTGTGCTTAGAAACTAGTAGCACAAACAGACGCCCATAGGGTGTCGTTTCTGCTAGTTGAAATAATTTGACTAGAAAATGGACATTCCTAAAGAGTATCAGTACCTCTCTGTAGTGGTGGAAAGAATAAAAAAACAACGTGAAAGTAATATGTAACTTGCATCTCTGGAACATGTTACAAAGCATCTTCGTTTCTGATATACAAAGTGTGTTAATGCAACCACTGATTACGACTGACTTACACTATTAAACTTATTGTAATAACAAGTCATGTTTATTGTTAACTTACTGACAGTTAGTAATTAAAGTGAAATATATTTAAAATGTAATAGAAATTGTAAGATTCTTCAAATAAATGTCTCTAGCTATCTGGGATATTTCATCATACACGATAATGTAATTAATAGCATACTAGATAGCTGTTTTTAAAACATTTTTGTGTCTAATACATGTACGTTTTCTTTCCTCTTGCTGTCATTGCTTAACATGACAGCAAAGAGTGACAATAGCTTTAATATTTGCACGGTTGATTTGTAACAAAGATAACGGCTCAACTAGATTAAGTTTTTTTTGTAAAGTATGTTTTGCTTGTACTTTATAATTCTTGTCTTATGCTTAACTTTACGAGGGACAGGAAATTAGTGAAGAACTAGTTTTTTGTGTTTTGCAAGCCAAGTTATATTTCATTCTTTCTTAAACGTCACTTTCATTGGACAGTATTGGTTAAGATACTTGGTCATCTATACATTATCCTTCACATCTTTATTTTATATATTTTTTGATTATTTTGCAGTTTTAGCTCGGTATGTGCAATTAGGACTAACCCAAATCTCCTATTCTGGCTGAACCTCGTAAGATATTATTAAGGTCATGGCTGAAAATATTTAATTATGAGAATACCTAATTGAGGAATTCACTGAATTCCTATCATTCCAATTTTTGTTCATGACATTACTACATTATTCACTGTGTTATTTTTTAAATTTTGTTCTACAAAGGAAGCTTGCTTTGATCGGAAGCTGTTGATGATTTCACACACCATTGTGTTTATTATACATAAAACTGTTTTTATAGACATAAATTTAACAGGTTAATATAGTGCTTTTTTTTAAACACGAGACTATTTATGTTACACTAAGTTGTTAGTATCATTCTTCAAAAAAAAGGGTAGTGTTACTAAAAACTCTAATTTTGTGAAACTTATGAAGGAAAAAAAGAGAATGATGATTTATAAATAATACATAAAACAGAGAATTTGAAATGAAATCTAACAAAGTTTCATTTACAGTATATTATAACTTGAAATTGTAACATTTGTTTATTTTCATGTGTACGTTTAATCCGTTGAAGCAAACTCGTGACAGTGTGTACATTGTAAAAGAGCATTTGTATTGCTTCCATGCATACCAAAATTTAGTGAATTTTTAATAGATATAAAAGTGTTATGAAGATTTAATAAAATAATGATTTTAGAATGTATAGTAAATAATAGTACTACAAGAATAGTATGAACTTATTCCAACCAAATTTGTATAGTGTTGTAGGATTAATGAAATAGTATTTATAAGTAGTTTAACTTTTTCAGTTAAATATAAATGTCTAAACGCTTTCACAAACATTATAATTATACTTTTTGTAATGTACTTCCCTCGATGCAAAACTAAATATTGAGTTAGAGAATTAAATAGCCACCACTTTCAATTACCATAGCTCACACCGGTAGAATGAACATTTTTAGCCACCACTTTCAATTACCATAGCTCACACCAGTAGAATGAACATTTTTAGCCACCGCTTTCAATTACCATAGCTCACATGAAAGTGGTGGCTAAAAAATGTTCATTCTACCGGTGTGAGCTATGGTAATTGAAAGTAATGACTAAAAATGTTCACTCTACTGGTGTGGGCTATGGTAATTGAAAGTGGTGGCTAAAAATGTTCATTCTACCGGTGTGAGCTATGTTGAATGAAAGTGGTGGCTAAAAATGTTCATTCTACTGGTGTGAGATATGGTAATTGAAAGTGGTGGCTAAAAATGTTCATTCTACCGCTTTACCATACTCACACCAGTAGAATGAACATTTTTAGCCACCACTTTCATTCAACATAGCTCACACCAGTAGAATGAACAAGCTGAAGAAGAAGTCAAAAAACATCATGGACTTTTTTTTTCCCTATAAAATTTGTCATTTTATAATAAATTTTAGAAAACAGACACTTGAGCTTGGCAATCATTGTTCTTCCATATAATTGTTGATGGTAAAAAGTAAGAAAACTGTGGGTTATTTTAAGATTTATTACTAACTGTAGTTTTGTATTTATGTGTAAAATGTATGGATAAGTAAATTGTTTGCGTGAGAACAAATTTGCATTTTGATACGAAACAGTTAATTTCGAGATTTCATTGATGTGTAGAGATTTTACTGAAATAAATTTACTTATTTGTTTTGTTTCTTTCAGTAATATGTAATACAAAGTTGGGTAAAAATCACCATGCTTGGCACCCCCCCCCCCCAAGTTCCCCCATTAGGGTGTTTACTTGTGTTATTAAACACTCACCAGTAATGCAGGGTAAAAATACCTGTAGTGTAATGTCTGCATTATCTTCATGATAGATAGTGTTAGGGGTAAATATAAACTTGTTTTCTGACAGATAATGAACTTATACAGGTTGCAAACTTTTTCAAGTGTCACCTAGAAATTTTTGGGTGCCAGAAAAAATACTTTCCTGAGACAATTTTAAGTGTTCATGCATTTCTAAGTTTTTTTTTCTTTTCAAATACATGGACATTCACAACAAATGCTCATCATAATCACAACCAACTTTGTATTTGGGGCTTGCCTACATCAGTCAAGTACCATCACATGACTGCAGTCTAGATTTTAATAGACTAGCCTAGATGTAGATAGGTCTAGATTTGTTCCTATGTGGTTGTGAGTATAAATGTCAAATTAAAGCTGCATATTAATATGTTCTGATTTGTTTTAGATCTAGACCTAAGTATAGTGCTTGGATTGTACAGATCCATAGAAGTATACATTAGTGAAAAGCAGGTGCTTCTGCTGTAGAAATGATGCTAAACATAAAGCATTACATAGCTTAGAACTTAACTTTCAAGACTTAGTCACTTGATAAGACTTTATCAAGGCCATCTTATTAGCATTAGGACACTTATGTTGATTTTGTTGCTGCTAATTTTAGTCTAGGTCTAGGCCTAGATATAGGATAAGCTGAGTAGTAGTAATAATTATATATATATATATATGTGTGTAGAGATTTAGCCAGGTTGAAAAGTGATGGAGCTAAACTGTTGATTAATTATAAGCAAGACATAAATGTCATTTCAATATACGTAGCCCCTCTCATGATTTTGATAACTAGGACTGACCGAAGTAGGTTATATAACAAATCACTGATCTGTGATTTTTTTTTATTAGTTTGAAATCGAAACCTGGTTGAAAAAGTGGAATCAGCCAATAGGCAATCTCAATAACAACCATGCAGTTGCAATTGTTTCAGGCCATTCTACTGGTTGGAAGTGACGTTGTTATTTTATCTAGTGTAAGACAGTCACTGCAATAGTTTTCATGCTAACTGGACTCATCCTTTTAAATTTTTATGTGCCCAATGTGATTTTTTTAGGAATACTTGGCATTGCCCAGCACTAAATAAATATAATTCTGGCATAATATGAGTTTTCTTAAACATAATTCTTTTCTTGGGTGTAATTGGTTTTCTGAATTTTTACTCTAAAGGTGATGCTGTTCAGGCCCAGCTAATACTTTATGCTACATAAAAAAACATGTTTCTATTTATTCTACCCTTTAGGCCTTATGAATTAGAATTCGAAATATCTTAAACTTTTTTTGGCTGTAGGAAATGTAAACATTTGTGAGCTTGAGAATAGGTCAGTTGTGTAAGTTTCACACTCAGTGGGTCAGTGTTGGTAGCTCTAACATGAGTACGTTTGAGTAAGCAGTTTTTGAATTAGGTTGACAGTGAAACACAAGTAAACTTTTATCAAACATTTTGTGTTTGAGATTGTACAACAGATGTGTGGCTTTGTTAAACATAAGAAGTAGACATATCTTGTGTCTGGGAATAAAAGTCAACACAATCCATAATAATTGTCATTGAATTTTTTTAGGAATACTTTACAAACTGGCCAAAACAATAACTGTAACATTTCTTATCAGTCTACAAGGGAGTAATGGTACAGCCACAATCTTGGTGTGCAATAAGTGTTTTATTGTAGAACCAGGTGCAATACATAAGAACAATTTCTGTGCATGGCTGCTGGCAGCACTAAGAATATTATTCAGATAAAATTACTTACATTTTCTCAATAAAACTTTAAATCTTTTTATCCAGAGACAGAGCAAGCTACTTTTATCTATTTATAGATTTGACTTTATATGTTCATATCCTATTTTCATATTCATTTTGCAGAGCCTTTAAAGCAGGATTTTGAGTTCTGTGATGTGTAAAAAAGTGATTTTGTTCTTTATATGGGATATAAGATCAAATATTGAATACTTCATCCTCTACTACCCCCCCCCCCCCAAAAAAAAAAATAATTTTTAATTCTCAACTGAACTTAATGCAATTCTAGATACTTTTGAGGACTTGTGCCCTTCTGGATTATCTTGAGCTAGAACAGCCTTCTTCTTCTTGACCTTCTGAAGGAAATTGTCAATAAAATCCAGGCAAGTAAAAAGGGATGCTCCCAGCCACATTCCCAGATAACCTCCAACATAACTGAATAATTCGATTTCCTGTGAGGGGAAAGGTTTATATATGATTCAGCTTTTCATACGACTAGTAAAAAAGGACTTGATAACTATAAGACACACTTTGTACATGACATTAATATAAATTGCTATAAAAAATCAATTTAATAAAGCACAATTTTTAAAGGACAAATACAGAGGGTTGACAACATTATATGAAAACGATTTTGAATGCATAAATCAGCAAAGAACATGACAATCACAAAGCTGGTGGAATGTCAGAACTACAATATGACTTTGTTTGGTATTTTGTAGATATTCAACAAAAATTGACAGTTTCTGAGAAGAGTACGTAACAGCCCTTTCTGATGCAAAATATTCATACACTCAGGTCATAAAGACATGTTCAGATTGGACATTTGGAACTTTCAAGACATGGATATCCTTTGTGATTAATGGCATTGAAAACAGGGGAATATGGATTAAGTTGGGACTTCAGGAACATCCAGAAATAAACCTGAAACAAGTCGTACTGCTGTGATAAGCAAAGTGTAGCATCTTGAAACAGGTGAAAATCCATGCAAAAGCTGTCCAAATGCCTGAAGCAACAGAATTAAAAATATTCTTCATCTGGATATAAAAACGGAGGTCGTGTACCCAAGTTACTTCCATGCCATATCCTTTCAATTGGTGCATTTCTTAATCAGCAAGGGAATGGAACAATTATTTACGATATTCCTTACAAAGACGTACTGGTCAAATTGCTGGGAGCAGTGCCTATAAATTTCTGTGTACTATATAAATGGGGGCTGGGAAACTGTTGTCTTGGTAAACTATATGAATTATTGAAAGCATGCATGTGGAATGGTGTGCTTTGAATATGACATTCTTTTGAAGGAGCTTAATGTCATAGAAACTATGCTGCATCAAGGTGCTTAGTCATCAAACAGAGCATAAATGGACTGTAATGACGTAGTGAGACTTGGAAATAATTTTAGTATAATATACTAGACCTCTGTATAAAGCATTGCATCATTTCACTGGCTTTTTATTCTGGTATCATAAACATTTCCAGTTTTTAACTTTATCAATAACTTAATTACAACTTTTTTTTTTTCAAAAACTACACTTACTTCAAACTTGGGATACTGTGTGTAAGTCACGTGGATTTTGGTGCTGAAATGGATATTAATTCTTGCTAAATTTCTCCTAAAAGGAAATAAAAAGTCTTTAACACAGTGTAGCGGATAACATATTGAATGGTTGAAAGTAAGCTGTTTTAGATATAGTGCTCATTAAAGATTTGATAATAAAAACCATTTAAAACCACATCAACACCAATGTAACTGAGATTCCACACACACACAGCTATATAATTAGTCTCAATGTGGGATTTTGTTTTTCAATTTTATGCTGCAGATGTTACAATTTAATGAAAGATTTTCAATCTAACCAGTTTGTATATCTATACAAATCAAAAAAAAATGATGACCATTTGCCAACCCAACATTTTCATGATGTCTCCAGCCGAGAACATAATTTCTGAACACCTCGAATTTTTTTAAAAAAAACATTTTCTCAAATAAAGACCAATTACTTTTTTATATAAGAATTGTTTAGATAAATAACAATTACAAGAGAAGTGTGTTACTTTGTTTCAGTTTCAATATGGTTAAGGGCCATAGCATGACGCATCTCACTTGAACACGATTAAAGGGCATAGCATGTTATGTATATCACTTTTCCACCCCCATTGGATCACTGGTAAGGTTTAGAACTTACAACATTACCATTCGTGGTTCAATTCCCTGTGGTGGATGGAGCGCAGATAGCCATTTGTGTAGATTTGTCATAAAACAAGCGGCCAAACAAAGGTTTGGGAAACTATGGTATTTCACGTGAAATATGGTTAAAAGTCATCGATGTACATTCCACATTGACCACAGTTAAGAGGCATAACGTAACATGTCCACCACATTGAACATGGTTAGTGGACATATCTTTTGAGATCATCCAGGAAACAAGTACTTGTATATAGATTGCAGTAATACATATATATTCTAAGAGATCTACACGTGTCAGATTTAGTGAACTTAAGGGGATAAGGAATTAGTTCTTATACCAGGTGGTTAAGGCACTCGACTCGCAATCTGCGGGTCGCGGGTTCGAATCCCCGTCACACCAAACATGCTCGCCCTTTCAGCCGTGGGGGCATTATAATGTGACGGCCAATATTCGTTGATAAAAGAGTAGTGATGTTGGGTGGTGATGACTAGTTGCCTTCCCTCTATTCTTACAGTGCTAAATTAGGGACGGCTAGCGCAGATAGCCCTCGTGTAGCTTTGCGCGAAATTCAAAACAAATACTCATTTTTTAATCTATGAAACCGCTCTTAATACACACGGTTCGGTCGAACCTTAAATCTCGTGACAGTTATACAAACTTTATACACTGCATGGTTTCTGTCGTGCAATGTTCAGTAGTCATGTCAACAGTGTCATAGATGAGCCTTTGTGCACCTAACCACAGACGATATTTATTGACCACAGACCAACCCGATACATTCATGATGTGATATTTTAATACCTAGTACATGATTTGTGGACATCTTGTGTCTTCCATGTTTGTAAGGTTTACCTTTCTTCTTCCAAAGTTGAAAGTCCAATTTTCCTCCGAGCAGTTTCGGTCCATCTTTCGAAGATCGATTCACTTTTGAAACGTGACTAAACATAATTAACCATATATAAGTACGTTAGTTTTCTAATTATTTTATATAACGGCGTAGGCAGAAATCTATAGGGGGGGGGGATATTTTTAAAGTAAAAAAGTGGCTAAGCCATACTTGAGCGTTGGGGGTCCAGCAGTCTGCCCTCCGGGGGAAATTTTGTGACTTTTTATTGAAAGTAATGAATTTTGATATCTGAAACTGTTTTCATACCCTTAAAATATAACGATTTATAAATATGTAATGCAATTTAGGAAGTGCTACCACAACTGCCCCCCCCCCATATCTTCGCCTACACCCATATTTTATATATATATAGAGTTTGAATGTATACGAGCTAAATGAAAAGTATTGATTGTTAGGCTTTTCTCACTAAAGATACA